GAAACTAACCAGCCCTACTGTGAGAAACTTCATAGATAAGTATACACGGTGCAAAGTGCCGGATGAATCTACTGTGCGCAAAAATTACGTGAAGCTGTGTTACGATCTTACAATTGAAAGCATTAGAGATAAGATTCAAGATAATTTTGTGTGGGTATCAATCGACGGAACATAAGATTGTGAGGGACGGTTTACTGCAAATTGTATACTTGGATCCCTTAATAAGAATGAACAACCTACCCCATATCATCTTCCATCCGCCATTTCCTCACTGGAGGTGACCAATAGCAATACTACTCTGTATCAGTCGTTAAGTGTGTTCAAAACCACTGTTTCCTAATTGAATTCGGTTCCTGGAAGAGTTGGTGAAGTGGTAAAGGAAAATGTACACAGCATTCTTTAAAAAAATCCAAGATATGAACAAATTTGTGAAATTGAAGAAATTGCAGCTGGTAAACGTACTGAACTGCCAAGCAAAAAATCACTAACAGTGGAGCAAATAGCGGCTCTTGTACATGCGCCCCTAAGTTCCTGTGAGGTGGAAAGAAGTGTTTCCCGCTATAAGGACATCTTACGAGACAATAGGAGGCGACTAACTATGGAAAACCTAAAACATTTAGTAATTGTGAACTGCAACAAAAGAGAAGTTGAAAGTTCGGAGAGCTTAATGTGAGTACTATTGGTTTTTTAATTTATAATGAAATATAGTGGCTTTGTTTGTATTTAAGTATAGCTTTTTATTACAAGTGAATCATTCATTGATTACATAAAATGAACTTAAATATTGATTTGTTGGTCTTAGAATAATGTAAAATCAATTTTAATATTTCGTATAAATTTTTATGTGTATATTTTAGTGCATATTTGGAAAGTTTTTCATGCATAAATGCATACATATGTAAGGGATTATTAGGGCATAAAAATCCGGTCCTTAGTAATGACCCCGAAGGAAGAAGCAGATAGTGAGAGTGTCTGAGAAGTGTGAGTTGAAAGGAATGTTCGGAGGTTGGAGAAAATGTTACTCTTCAGCCAAAATTATTTGTGGTGATGAGAACAAAGGGAACTGGGTGAACTAGACGTGTATCGCAAATGGGAGACATGAGGAATGCGTGTGGACAACGTGAAGGGAAGAGACCACTTAGTGGGTGGAAGAATAATGTTGAAATTGATCTTGAAGAGGTGGGATGTGATTACTTGTTCAGTGACTGGCTTTCGCGTCTCTGAAAGGTATGCAATTTGATTATCTGAAAGCCTGTTAGCTTCCCATTTAGTTGAGTAGTGAGTTATTTTCCTTTACGAACATTAAATGCTGCCTCAAGTTTTTGTCGAGCAGCAAAACGCGGATTTGCGGACGTTAAACAATGTATGTACTGTTGCATTGCTCAAGCTAGTCAGTGTTCTCACCGTTAAAGCGAAGTGCAAGCAATAAAGACAGAATTCCTTTATGTGTAATAGGGTCCATTTATATGCGAGATGCAGCCGGAAGCTGGCCTCGCTATTGCAGACCTCAAGAGACGTGTCTTCGCTGTGGCAAGACGTCGTCTTGCAGAATATGGATAGGCTAATTCGAGAGAGAGAGGGAGGGAGGGAGGGAGGTGGTTTACAACTCATTATCAGGTCCTCTTAAATATTGCACTAGGCCAAAACAGTAAAAGTGATCTGCGTTTCTTCCTTCCGCCGTCTTCAGAATCGAAGAAATGCTAAAATACCATTGGGGAATTTATAAAGGAATATAATTTGAGTGACTTCGACCCAGAACGAAGCAACGGGCACCTTCGTTAATGTTAACAATTTCAAGTAAATAAAAATAACAGTGGACACTTCAGTCTTTATAGGACTGCAAGAGTCTCTTATTTCGATTTGAGGAAGATGCATCAAGGTACTTCGAAACCTTGATATTTTTACCCATAAGACCCAGCATTATTTACAGAAGGTTCTGCAGTGATTACGCCTACAGACAGTCAAGGAATATAAACTCTTACAGAGTTTCGAACTGTTCAGGGAAAAGAGATTTCTGACCCTACGAATGCCAAACGTCGAAAGTTTCAACCATCGCGCATGTACTAGATAATCCTGCCAGTGGATCCATTCCCAGGGCAGCTTAATCCAGGTCATGCATTCTCAACACAACTGCCATAACACCCGCTTCTGTGACACTGTCATTTGGACCTAGTAGAAAGGAAGAAACAGAAAAATTCAAACAATTACGTAATTCAGACAGCCAGACACATAATTTTGCAAAATGTTTTTTGCCGTTTTATTTATTTTGGTTACTTAATGACTTTAGCATGCATATTGTAGAGTCAAGTGGCAGGTGGACAGTGAATTGGAAAGGATGACAAAGATAGTGGTCGTGACCCAATTAGAAGTATTATCCCGGTATTTGCTTAGAGCGACTGAGAAATATCACGAAAAGACTCAGAATACCCGGTTTCTGGCCGAGATTAAAATCAAGAACTTCCCATGCACACACCAGAAGCGTTGTCGCTTGATTGAACTTGCTCTCTAGGATCAGGTACTAACGGCTCAACTCTATGTATTGCTGTCTGCCTAACATCACTGACCCTATGTACATTCAATAACTGTGAGTAGTTCCTCCACCTATTCAAAATACTGTGGGAATCTGCAAGCAGATCACCATTCTCATCCTTCACTAAGTTACTTCTGGGTCGGTCACCCCTTTTAAAATCATTTATTCCTCTATACAGGTCTCTAATGGTATTGTTCCTACATTTCCTTGCAAGCTCATTAGTTGTATCCTTCAGATATTTCCTCTGTTTATTCATGAAATTCCTGCTGGTTTCGCGTCTTATATTGTTCAGATATCCCCATTTATTTCGTTCGGATCCTGTAACCGCTGCAGTTTGCCTTAATTCCTTAGTTCTGATACTTTTGAGCGTGTTTTGTCTAACCATGGTGTATGCTTCTTCAGTTCATGATAAACTGGACTCTCTTTGGCAGAAATTTTGATATTTTCTCTAGTAGTCTTCCAAGTTCTATTAATATCCACCCCGGTGTCCAAGTTTTCCAAAGCCATGAACCTACTTGAAATTTCAACATGATATTGCTATCTACCCTCTACCTCCACATATGAAATGTGTGTATTGTTTTTTACTCATTGAAAGTCTGTCCCTAACTTCTGCCACCACCAGATAGTGATCAGTATCACAGTCTGCTACCCTGAAAGGTTGGATATCAGGTACATCTGAATGTCATCTCCCATCTACGTATCAGAATATGGTCAGTTTCACTGTGAGTCTTCCCATCAGGAGATGTCCAAGTAAATTTATGGATGTTACTATGTGAACATTGTACTTTTGACAGTAAGATTCTTGGATGTGGCAAAGTTTACTACTCTAACTCCATTATCATTAATAATTTTGTGCAAACTTTCTTTCCCAATTGTTGGTTTGTAAATGTTTTCCATACCTACTTTGGCACGGAAACCTCCTAACAAAATTTGCGTAAAGTATTTAGGGAATTATTTGAATATATGTTCTAGTTCCTTGCAGAACCTGTCCTTCATATCATCAATTTTGTCCTCTGTTGAGGCATGAAAATTCAGAGCAATGATATCACACTAGCGACCTCTTAGTACACATATTATGCAAGACACCCTATTACTAACAAACAACTTTCTTAAGAGTAGAGAGGCCTTAGGCGAAGTTTGAATGGGAAAAAAGTTAAGTAATGTGAAGTGTCCTTGTTAGAGTGCAGTGAATCGAACACAAGCACTTGCCTTTTTATGACTATATGTTTGGATTTGCACTCTGTATACCTTGCTTATTGTATGTACTTTGTTTTGTATTGTTCCCTTTATGTTATAGTCTTTCCTTGTCTATATCAGTGTAAGATCTACTGCCACCGGGTGAATACCCAAATGCAGTAAAAAGAAAAAAAATATAACTGATGATATGTTTCCCTTATATACCAATAAAAACTGTACCTAATTCAGGATTCTCATTCCCCTTTCTGTAGAAAAGTATATATTCACCTGCTGGCTCCTGCACTCCCACTAAACGTAACTTATTTTGATAGTCTGTGACTGCTTATTCAATATGTTTGCAACTACCCTCCATATCTGGAGGCTGTCTCTTCCATCCACAACCTGAGGACACGCCATTAACTGGTGACAAGGGGCCCACCTAACATGGGTTCAGTTTTCTATCCACATTTGTTGCTAATACAGATTGGGCCTTTGTTACATTTTTCAGACATGACCTCAAGAATTCGTAAACCTATGTCACAAAATATGTATATATGCTCAGTAACGTGTAATGAGTATTTCCCATAGAGATATTGGGTTTTCGGACTTTATCCATCGTCCTGGTTTTAAGATAACTAAGAAAAACACGATGTTTTGGAAACTGGATCTGTTTCCGTCCTCAGGTGAGGGAAAACACCTATCCTGTTGGGTTCCTTAGAAAGAGCTAGCCTCAACCACTGGACAGTCACATTCAATCATCAATTGTTACTTCTTTTCTCCAAAAATTTAGAAGGGAGGGAAATGCCAAGTTTACTCCCCCACCCCCTCCATTGGATCTGAATGTGATACTCCCACCTTTGAAATCTTCATGACTGCTGAAGTGGTACCATGGATAAAATGAAATCAACATTCATAAGTATATATGTACTTGGGATGATATGATGTGGCACAGTGATCATCAAATTACATTATAAAATTAGAACAACTGGACTTACAAATAAAATTGCCCCTGTGGTAAGCACCTCACTATGTAGAACCTAACTTTAGTATTATCTGAGTTGTAAATATAGCTCTTGATGATCTTGTGACTAGCTTATTAGCTAAATATCTAAAATACTATTAGTAACCTCCTGAATGTTAAACACGGTTTGCTGATGGCTAATGGCTGATAGGATCTTGGGCTAGTTCGTTGGTCTTTATGCTCTTGGCGGCAGTTGCTCAAGACGTTGCACCATGTCATTACAAAAATAACTCATTTAAGAAGAATGTGTTGTGCCATGATTTCAAAGGTTAGTGGTGTGTGTTCCAGGAACAGCACCGGCATTGCTGCTGGCGGGGGAGGCAGCATGTTCCTCAAGGTGTACTCCATCACCATCCTTCTGCTCGATGTCCTGAGTCTTGTGGTGAAGGTAATCTTCGCTGTCCTCGAGTCAGTCTACCAGACCATCGCAGGTGTCGCCGAAAAGTCAGTAGCTAATGAGATTGTTCTGGTGAGTTCACATTTCCAGTTATGCAGTCTTTCCAAAACATGCATGAGGTACAAGCGTGATGGGGGGCTCTGTTCATCTGCTCACATCTTTCGTTTTTGAAAATACTGAGTCCATTTGAATGAAATTTGTTTTGATACACTAATGTTATGCAGTGAATTTAATCAAGTATGTAGGATTTGAGGTTATCACAGCGGTGACTATGAAGAATGCCGTGTTCTGGGATGTGGTACTGTGTAGGTCATGTGTGAACCGATGTTTCGGAGGAACATATCGCCCCCATCTTCAGGGTAACAAATCCGCAAGTGAGGAACCAACATGACTGCAGCCACCTGCTCACGCTTGTTCCTAGGTCGCGGATTTTTCTACCCTGAAGATGGAGGCTATACATTCCTCCGAAACATCGGTTCATACAAGGTCTACATGGCACCACATCCCAGAAGACTGCATTCTGCAATCTAATCAAGGTTTTTATTTCACTAACAGGTTACTCAATTAGTTTACATGGAGCTCAGATCAAAGTTTATTCTTTTTTCTCTTGTAAAATGGCTCACTATGCGAAATGATTTATTTTTTGCATGACAAAATGCAGATGTAATAAATGTTCATAATTCTACCTCGAACATGTTTATGACACAACTGTTTAATGATAAAAAAAGGAAAATAATTTATGACTGTGAGTGTGGTACGTGTAAGGCTGTTAGCTTGTTAACTTCCATCTATTGGCAACATAAGAATCTAGGGTTTGAGGCTATCATAGCAGTGGTCATGAAGAAATCTTCTCGGATATAATGTTGTGTAGTCTGGTGAAAGCCAGCCAACGTTTTGGAGGAACATACGACTTCCATCTTCGGGGTACTTACTGCTTGCCTCATTCTTGTTTCTTTCCTAGCTTGCTCTTCAACCATGAATATGGAGGCGATATGTTCCTCTGAAACACTGGGTGACTGTCACTGAACTACACAGTATTATGTCCCAGAAGGTGAAAGTCTTCAACGTTGAGATTGCTTGGAGCTTCACCTCCACCCACACATACGTCCTTATAGCTTAATTAAGCCCAGGAACAGCTTTTATTAGGAAACAAAGGCTTCTGGTAACACTGTGTCACGTAACCCTCCCCCATAAGAGCTTTTCATGTAATTGCTGGGTTTCATAATACTTTTCAGTACCAACGTCGTGCCATTAGGGACCATCCCCACTTTTTTACTTTTAAATGTTACACCATCAGCTGTTTGAATTTCTGATATGAAAGTAACATCTTTATATTTAAGTAGGTCCCTAAAATATATGCTAATAGATCTCTCAAAAAGTAATGTTTATAAAGTAATTGCAGACAAACAAAACAAACTCTATGGGTTTACTCCGTAAGTGAACTATACCGACCAAGCAACTGCCGCTTATCGACGAAGTTAGTGCCATCTTTAGTGGATACAGGGTGTCGTGTGGTCAGTGCAACGAATCCCCACAGCAGTTAATTTCGGTTTATCAGACTGGAGCCGCTGTTTCCTTGAAATAGCTCCTAAATTATGCCCACAAGTCTGAGTGAACCTCATTCCAGACCCACTACTTCTCAGAAAATCTGGTAGCGCAGGGAATCGAACCTGGACCTCTGGAAGTAATGACTTACAGAATATCAAACAACATGATTACTACGTGATCTCTACAGTTAGCCATCAGTATAACGGTGATGACTAATGGACCACTGATGCTAGGTATGCGGAATTTTGTATGGAGGTAATTTATAAACGTACCTACAAATTCTGCCAACTGTTGCAAATTCAGAATTGGTGCAAAGCTCTTACATGTTAGAGACAGAATATTTACTGGTGGAAGATGTGCACAGAAATATATGGCTAAATTATACTTATTATTAATGTTACTTGTTTTTACCCTCATTATGTAAATTGAAAGAACATAGCTGTCATAGTTATCTCCAGAACAAGCCATAGGTAAACAATTCTGTATTTGTTGACACAGATAACTGGGACTGGACATGGGATTGGGAAGGAGCTGGCACATCAGTATGCTTCTCTCGGTGCAATTGTAGTCTGCTGGGACATAAACCAGGAAGAGAATGACAAGACAGTTCATGAACTCAGGAAGATTGGAGCTAAAGCATATGGTTACAAGTATGTATAACTACACACATATTTCCTGGTATTTAGTCTCCTAGTTCATCACTGTAGCAATAAAAGCTTATTACTTTATCCTTCCCTGCACAGTCAGAAGTCTCTCTTATTTCCTTTTAAGATTCAGTGATATTAGTGCTGCTGTGGTTTAATCTTGGTGTACAGCAAATGTAACGATTTCTTCATTTCACATTTTCATCTGATTCATATCTATAGATACTGATAATATCATCGGCCATTTATGCACTCCAGCTAATTCTGTCACTAATGCAGACCTACACATATTTCCTACAAGCCTAGAAACCAACTCCAGAAATTAGGAGTCAAAGTGGAAAAGTGTCTCAGATGAGAAACTGGCTGTCTGCATTAGCAAAAGGGCAGTCAAAATGTGCATATAAATAGTAGCCAGTCTTTGTAATGCTTGGGTAAAACCCAGTGCTTTGTTGCTAGATATGGGGAAAAGAGTGATTGGATGGGCAGAAAGAAAGAATGGGAAAGGAATAACAGAAAGAGAGAAGATAAAGATACAAAAGGCATAAAAGAAAGAACGAACAACTTACTTTGCTTGTCATCTTTGATGGGCCACGAGCTACTAATAAAATAAAATGAAGAAAATTCTAAGTGCTGTGGCAACCTGGTGCTCAGGACTTGTGCAGACCTGAGTATGCATGTAATCTGAACTGAAGGGCTTTATAATTTTAAAAAGAATAAACATTGCTGTACAAAAATTGTTGGCTTACATACCTCATTTCATAAGAAAAGAGACAGTTTGTATCAAATATCTGTGTCTGTTTCTTGCAATTATTTCAATAAGAATGTGCTGGTTTCATTTATCTTAGTAAGTGCATATACTTGAACTGCCTCTGTGGTCTAGTGGTCAGAGTTCCTGGCTACAGATCCACAGGTCTGAGTCTGATTCCTGCCGCTACCACATTTTTTCTGAGAAGTAGTGGATCTGGAACGGGGTCTACCCAGCCTCGTGATGATAATTGAGGAGCTATTTGAAGGAAATAGCGGCTCCAGAGTAGAAAACCGAGATTAACGGCCATGGGGATTCGTTACGCTAACTACGCGACACCCTCTATGTGCAAAAGTTGGCACTAAGTTCACCAACAAGCAACAGTCACTCGGTCGGTATAGTTCGCTTGCAGACTAAAATCACGGAGTTTGTTTGTTTTGTTTAAGTGCATAATAATTTTATGGGTTACTCTGCCTTTTCCATACCAATGTGTCAGGTATGTGTACTTTGAAATTTTTCAAAGCCGGAATTCAGTTTAAGATGTTTGACATGAAACCGTTACATAACTGTTGGATCAATACTTTCTCCTTCTGTCCAATCGTTACTAGCGTGAAGAATCACAATTGAAAAAATATGGTGTTTACAAACCTGTATATAAGAGTTAACAATTATGTGCTAAATTTTCTTAAACTATGCTTTGAGTTCTTCTACCAGAGTGTCAGTTTAGTTATGGAGATTAAATGAAAATGGAATAGCGAAATTAATGTAAGGAGTAACATTACGATATCCACTCCTTTAGACTGATAAAATGATGAAATAGTCAGATGTGACACACATTAAGAGACAGTGGATGCAGGATTTTGGTTGGAACCAGGCCATTTAGGAAATGAAAGCTAAATGACAGTTATTATTAAAATCAGATATAAATAAATTGGTTTTGAAAAGAGAACTGAATGAATTTAAAGGCAGAGCATAGATAGCTAAAAGTGTTCTAAATACAGGGGTGCTTGGGAGGATGCTTGATTCTAAAGTAGCATCAGCATTACTCATGTTCGTGCTCACCAGGCTTGTGCTCACCAGGAGACTTGTCTGGCTTTTACTTGTGCTCGTAAATCTTCGTCCACACTACTTCAGTTGCTCGCCAGGATTCGATGCGTGAGGATCTGTATATTTACTCGTAGTGTGTATAGGATGTAGTCGTATTTTAATTTATTGGCTATAGTTTTTAAATTAAAAATTAAAAATTTGCTTTTCTCGTGACTTGTCATATCGTCCACATTAGTTGCGAGCATGAGTAATGTGGATGAGCCCTAAGAGTGAGGAAGTAACATGATGCTGAAGAAGTTGCATAATTTGTCCTCTAAAAAAATATTGTTAGGGTGACAAAACAGAGGAGTATAAGATGGCTGGGGCACATAACATGCATGAAGAGATAGGAAATGCATGGAACATTTTAATATAGAGAAATTAATTTTGAAGAAGAGAAACAAATTAGATTGATTCATGGTATATTTCGGTGTCTGGATTCTGAAATTGCATCATATAAATCTCCCATTCCATAATAGAAAACCTGACTGACCAGATTGGTGTAGTCCTATCTGTTGTATTTGGGAGGTTCCCTCTTCGAATCTTGGCTGTTCTTGATGATAAATTTCATACTTCTCATGCTCGCTAGACAGATGTCAGAATCCTGAAATAGGCCGTTCCATATTCCTACCAACTTACCACTTAAATAATCTTTCCACCCTATTCAGAAACATTTAACCTCAAATTTTAACTAGTACATATCTTTAAATAAATGCTCAATTAGTCACTCAGGTTATTAATTCTCATTAATAGTTGAGAATTTTTCTTCATAAACTGAATAATGACTAGGTCTATAAATTGTTGATGAGGGCATGTATCTGGCTGGACCGTATGTGGATAATGTTAAGTGGTCTATTGAGGCAATTCAGCCAGCATAAGAGGCAAATTAGTAATACAATTAACACCTTTATGGTGCAAGGCAACAAGGCAGGTAAATGAATGAAATCCCATAGGATGCGTGAGGACACTAGAGCAATGAAGAATACATTCTTCTGGTTTGTATGCCATGTAGGTCTGATGGAGCTCAAAGTTTAATAGGAACATACTACCTTCACCTCCAGGGTCAGAAATTAAGCAGAGCAAGAGATCTGCAGAAGCAGGCAGGTAGAGCGTAACAGCTCAAGTTCTTAACTGTCATATGAACTGGAGTATGTCGAGGCATATCCCACTGTACAAGAATGAACTGACAGAGAACTTCTGTATACACTGTACAGTTTTACCACTTACAATGTAAAGATGAAGTGTAAATATTATTGTAGTAATAATGGTACATAGTGTAGGCCTATATGTATACAGTATGACTATACCAGGGTGCACTAGGAGTGTAATTATTCTGTATTGTTACTCCGCAGTAGAAGTATCAATGACTTAAAATGAGAAGCCCCCCCCCCCTACAAATACCAGAATACTTATCATAGAAAACCAAAATGTGGTCATAAGCCCTAATGATGCTTGAAACAATGAATGAATTTCCTGGCTGGAAAGCCAGCAGCAAATAATTGCTCTGTTTCCGAATTCTTTAACCCTGAAAATGATAATTTCAGTGTTTGTCAGAACGTTAGAAAGTCTACATTCTACGTGGAATGTTCCCAAAAGCTGAAGTCATATATTAAATTGCAACCTCGAAAACCTAAGAACAAATCATATATTATATTCATAATTGTAATCTTCAGCGCACCTGATCTGGATCATAATTTTCTTAACAAAGCACTTTCTACTTTTCATTTTAAGTAAATATGTGTAATATTAAACTTAATTTGTTTGTTCTTTTGTTCGTTGTTGTTGAAGAGGAAGTAGCTTACACTTACGCAGGTGGTACATTAAGATGTGATTATGAGCTGCGAGTTTACAGAGTACACAGAAAATAGTTTCATTTCCTCTGTTACTGTATCACAAGAAGACTCAGTAGCAATCACAGCATTTGTGAAGGTGGCATTAGTAGCTGGTGAATGCTGTGTTACAGATGTGATGTATCGGACAGAGATGCTGTTTTGACATTGGCTAGAAAAGTGAAAGAAGAAGTTGGTGAAGTGAGCATTTTGGTAAACAATGCTGGCATCATGCCCTGTCACCCCCTGTTGCAGCACAACCCCCAGGAGATACGCAAGATATACGAAATTAATGTTTTTGCACACTTCTGGGTGAGTTTTGAGCAATTCTTATCTTTCAGATGCTTTCAAACCGATGTGAACCGGGTAGAAAATTAGGGTCAGGACATGGCTCTAAAAATAATTGCCCACTCACCACAAGTGGGTTAATTTTGGCAAATGGCAGGTAAATTTTTAGCCATGGGCAACATATATTGAAAATTTTATAAACACATGATTTATTACAGTGAGAAAGGTTCAGAAATCATGTTAAAGGATGTGTACTTTTTCCTATGAACTTAAAATAGTATGTTCAGTTTACTTTTTGCATAGGAGTGTCTGAGTGCAAAATCTTTACTCTGAACACAAAACCAGCATGTATCAGAGTATGATGGTTGATGGGACTTCCATTTCTGGACCATCAGTCAGATTAAGCATTCTCATTAACCCCCTAACAGATTATCTCCCAACCTGCTGAAAGACTTTAACATTGAGGACTTGTCCTACAACCAGATACTTGGCTCCTCTGTATTTGTGGTTCTTAGTATTTCAACTGGAGGTATAATCAGAGAAGAATAAGAATTTGCACCAAACAGATTTACTGCAATGCAGACCACAAGAAGCTGGATGGCTCCACCAGTGCTACTCCCACTTTTTCCATCACCACAGTTGCAACATGTCCCTCTGCTCTTGTCCATGGTACTGTTAACATTACTTAAGGAGGAGCAGCGGTAGCAGTCACCCCAAGACCTCCACACAGCAGAAATAGAATCCACAGATTTTATTGAGACATCTGCTTCTCTAGCTCAGTTTTTATTTTAAGTTACAAAAAAAAAAACCAACCCCCCCCCCCCCCAAAAAAAAAACATTATAACTTAAATTTGTTGTTACTGAAAAGAGCCTACACATTTTGATTGCTCTGGGGGGCCTTCAGCTGTCAATCCATTCGTGCTAAGAGTCCAGATTCCTGGAAGGTCCTTTTGTGTATGCCATGGTGCTACAGTAGGATTGTGCTGCTTCAATGCACTGTGTCATTCTCTGCCCACAAAGTTCCGTTGCCAGATCCAGAGGAAACTCAGAGGAAGATGAGTTGCACATGATAATACATTTAAATTATGTTTCAAGTTTGGAGACAACAGATAAATTATGTATCAGATATGGTGCCTGTGTTCTTCCCTGTTTGTAGTAGCTTCTTTCACTATCCTGCCCCTCACTTCTCATTTCAAAGTGCACTTTTCTCTCCTGAATCTCATAACAGATTTACCAAACTCAGTTTCTAAGTATTTTCATGTGTTTAGTGATTGTTGACTGGGTTTGGATCGATAATTTAATTTCTTGGACTCTTTCAAACTGTATTTACAATTAATTATAAGAGTTCCTGGATCTACACAGTCATCACAGCATGCACTAGGTCATATCAGTCTGCCACAGGGAGCTCAGTGATCAAGGAAACCTGGCAGCAGCGCAGAGTGGACACAATATTTCTCACAGATTGTTGCTTTAACTTTTGATAGCAGAATGAGTCATTAGCGCTGATAAACGTGCACCGCCAAGTGGTTTGATCTTGTCACTGAATTAAGTCGCATTAATACATGGTCAGTCTGTGTTAGAGGTGTCGATAGGCAGTCGACATTTATACTGAACTGAAGTTCAGTAGTGAACAGTGTGTGTCTGTCATTGGAACTTTTGCAAGGGAAAAACTTACAGAAAATGTATTCATAAATTTCACCATAAATACAAGGGGGTATCCAAAAGAAACCGAACTGATTTTTTTAAACTTATTTATTCAAATTTTAAGCACAAACCTTCAATCCCCTTCAAAGTACTCTCCACTTACACTAATACATTTGTCTAGTCTTTTATTCCATTTTTCAAAACATTGTCTAAATTCATCTTTTGAGATGCTTGACAGCACCTCTGTCGTTTTTTCCTTCACCTCAGCAACATCAGCAAAACGCTTTCCTTTCATGTCTCTTTTCATTCAAGGAAACAAAAAAAAGTTTTGATCATTTCAGGACTCTTCTTTCAAAGCACAGCATGCTTCCACGCGACCTTGTTTTTGTTCAGCAGTCAGCAGTCGTGGCACGAATTTTGCAGCCACCCTTTTCATTCCCAAATCTTCTGTCAAAATTTGCTGAACTGAGCTCCAAGTCACTCCCGACGGCTTCACAATTTCTTGAATGGTCCGTCGTCGATCTTCCTTGATGATTTCACGAATTTTTTCAACATTTTCATGTGTTCGGGCCGTGGAAGGATGACCAGAACGAGGTTTGTCATCAATTGACATTTCACCATTTTTGAAACGGGAAAACCACTCAAACACTTGAGTTTCCCCATAGCATCGTCCTTGTACGCCGTTTTTAACATTTCAAGAGTTTCTGTTCCACTTTTCCCGAGCAAAAAGCAGAATTTCACCGCCGCACGCTGTTCACGAAAATCAGCCATTGCAAAAACGACGATCACACAAAACAGTTGTCACTATAAACTCTGCCGAAACTAGTCCTTATCTTCTGAAGCAACGGTAGTCGGCTTATCGACTCAGGAATGTTAGCTCTATGCGCTCATAGCGGCAAAACGCGGTACTACAAAAGCTCTGCCCACAAAAAAATTAGTTCGGTGTCTTTTGGGTACCCCATCATATCCTGCCTCGCCATTTCCCACAAAGTCGTGTGTATCCAAGCTTGTGAGAAATTGGCGGGCCATGGGTTCAGTGCGTAACATAAAGAAGCAATTGAAGAGGATTATGCTGACTGAGGAAAAGGTTCAGGATACTGAGGCACAACTACAGATCAGTCCTTGAGAATCGTTAAGACGCTTAGCACAGGAAAATAATGTTTCGCTAGGATCTGCCTTCGCAGCCACAAAATTAACCAAATTTCGCCCGTATAAAATAACAGTTGTTAGCTGAAACAACCAGATTATGCAGCAAGAATTCGTTTTTGCAACTGACTGCTGCAGTATGTGCACAATGGAATTGTGGATCCACAGCTTCACTTCATGATTGATGAGGAATGGTTTCACATTAGTGGTCATGTCAGTGTACAAAATGTAAGAATATGGAGCAATGAAAATCCTCACGCTATACAGCAAGTGCCATTAGATAGTGAAAAGGTGGTGTGGTGTGCTGGAAGTCCACAGCAAATCATTGTCTCCTTATTTTTCCAAGACACCGTGAACTCTGATTGCTATGTTAATGATATACTGAACCTGTTCTTCGATCAGCTGACTGTTGAAGAAAGACAATATGGATATTTTCAGCAAAACAGTGCTACAGCACATACGGCTAATGCAACCATGGTCAAAATATGGAAAGTGTTTGAACACAGAATAATCAGCAGAGGACTGTGGCCTCCCAAACCTCCACATCTCAGTGCATGCACCAGTAGTATTAAGGACCTAGGTTTTTTCTTTGATTCAAAGTTACATTTTCACACACATGTTGATTATGTACTTTCTGAATGCATAAAGCTTTTAGGCCTTATTTGCTCCATAACCTACAGATTTTCCTCCCTGGAGTGTCTGTATGCACCATACTTTACTTTAGTCAGGTCCAAGTTGGAATATGCCTTGGAAGTTTGGTACTCCATCATTTTGACTGATGCCAATAAGCTTCAGCGCATCCAGCAGAAGTTTGTGACCGTCTGTTATTATCGTTTCTTCCTTCGTATTCCATATAATTATACAGATGCTTTAGAGAAATTAAGATTGCAATCTTTATGTGAACAGAGACATCGTCTTCATGCATATTTTTTTTTCAGGTCTATCACGGGCTTAAATCTTGCTCTTCCCTTTTGGAAAATGTTAGCCTTTGTGTTCCTCCCAGCAATCGTAGGAACTTCTCATTGTTTGGGGTTAGTCCCTCTAACAAACACTGTCCTGCTTGGGGCGCTTATGCTGCCAAAGCAGTGGGCAAAGATCTTGACATTTTTGCAGTTGAGGCTGTTTCTCTCAATCACATTTATACTTATTAGTCTAAAATTGTTAATATGTGTTCATACTCCTAATGTTCCGTGTTGTGTAGTTCTTAGTTATAATGTTCTTGTTACCATTCCTCATCTTCGTTCGTTTGTATGTTTGTTTACTTTCTGTATTAATGTGTTGTTTCCTCCAATGCTTGCCTGTAGTTTGTCTTTGATGCCATCTCTGAGCCGATTGTCAAGGTAATGTGGGACCCTTAACGTCTCACAACCCCATGGGCCTTCACGGCCTGTTATAGGGATAGCTTTACTTTTTTTATGTTGTGTTTGTCCATAATGTAATTATGTAATTCCCCATATGTTGTGCACAGTTAAACACAGGACCACTTCTACCTTTTTTACTGTAATTATTACTCTCCTTATCATCATTATGGCTATTACTTCACAGATGCTGGAGGCATTTCTTCCCAGCATGATCCAAAACAATCACGGCCATATTGTGGCTCTCTCCTCCATGGCTGGAGTGATGGGGATTCCCAATCTAGTCCCCTACTGTGGATCAAAGTATGCTGTGCGGGGCCTCATGGAGTCGCTGAGCGAGGAACTGCGTGAAGATGCTAGACAAATAGATATCAAATTTACTACCATCTTTCCCTTCATTGTTGATACTGGATTGTGCAAGAAGCCGCGTACAAGGTAGAAATATGTTTTTATAAAAGCTACAACCCATTTTTATTTTGGCCTGTAATTTATTCAAAATATGCAATATTCACACAAGGAAATTGCTTTTTAATGATGAAACCTTGTGGATATGTTTTTCCTGAAAGTGCCCATAAACTGTAGATCTGCTGAATTAATGATATCAAGCATTTATTATTATCATATTATAGTCCATTCATCACTGTTCTTCTATCCTACAAATACATATATGTTGCTGTAGACTAAAAATGAAAGTACAAAATTTGCCTGTAAACTGTAATACAATAATGTAATGATATAATGCTATAATAATAAAAATGCAACATTGTTTACTTTTAATTGAGAAGAGAAGGAACAAGACAAAGATACAAGATAGACAAAGGAAGAAGAGACGGCGTGAATGATGAAGATATTAAAGAAGTGAATGTCTGCTCAATTTCAGCAGACCTCTCTACAACTGTTAATATTACTGGGATTGTGGACTTCTTTTCCATTGTCTGGTATTCCCTATAAAGCACAAGGTGATGTTCAATTGACATTCAAGCAATTCCCTTCTGATTTCAGTCACACTAGCACATCGCTTTAAAATATTTGGTGATTGTGTGAATTGCTGTTAACACCATAGCTCAATTTTCCCAATTTATGTATGCTCGAGGTCTCCCATATCATTGCTTCTACAAGTCTTGCATTGTCACTGACTGACAGCCTCAATTTTATAAAAAATTCTTGAAAATTGTGGTTATGTTCAGGGCTTGGTTGCAAATTCACGACTGTGCTGCCTCTGCATTACAAACACATTCTCAAATTTCCACTACCTGCCTTAACCTGCCTTCTTTGAATGTCAAGTGAACATCTGTTATTTTGCATTATGCTATTAATCATGGGTAAGGCATTACAGTTTTTCATTGTGCAAATGCTATCTCTTAAGTGCATGCTGTATTGTTTAGGGGCACATTCAGTGTTTGTGCCTGCCATAAATGAATGGATTTCTTGAGACACTTTGCGTAATTCAGATGATTCTGTTTAATGATGCTGTCTCTCTAAATTTTGTAAGACCAATTTTAAGTCTCATTTTCTTAATTAAACCAGCCAAATTGTTGAAGGAATAAATTTGTTCATTGTGTTTTAATTTTTCAAAGCTTCTGGAATCGAATAATGGGCACTTTGATGGAAAATACTATAACATAATTATGCGCCTTAAAGATATGGATACAGAGGTACAAAGTTTGGTGCATTTTGCTCAAATTATGAATGTTTTTACAGACTGTTTCAGTGTTTTATGACAGTGACTTTCTCTTGTGGAAGATTCGGCATTACCCATAAACCTCCTACTAATTATGAAAACGCGAGATTGACATAAAGAGGCATCAGACTTACCATAGCTACTACTGCTGCTACTACTACGACAACAACCACTACTGCCATATTGTCACCACTACCACTACACCAGTGTATTTCATTCACTTAAGTTTAGAGTGGCGCTTAAGGGATGAACTATCATAGCGGTTACAAAATAGAATATATTTCCAAATTACTTGAATATGTTCAGCAAGAATGTGAACTTGAACTGAAACCATTTTGGAAAATGTTTGTTTCCATATATTCAGAAAATGTAATGCCTCTTAAATTGTTCTTTCAAACCAGTTAGATTTGGAACTGTTGAAAAAAGAACATATAGCAATATTTTACCTTGATCTTTTTTCACACTCTGATGTGTCACTGTAAATATGGAAACAGAGTGAGATCCGTGCATATGAAGACGCACGAAATCAGTGGCGGTAAAATGCAGAGGTAGGACATGAACATGCAGTGCCAGAGAAATAAATGAAATGCTAGGCATGATAAATTTAATAAAAACATTAGAGCTGGATACACATGGCTTGCAAATGTATTAAAATATAAGATAAATTTGAGGTCTATAATGCAACTGGAAAGAGTACTGTGTAAGAGTAGTACTCGGAACTAATCAAGATAGGTAGCTGCAGACCCACAGGATGGAAAACATTAAGAGATAAACGCTGTTTGGATAATATTTACGACTCATCTGATAGCACAGAATGTGAAACAAAGAGAAACAAAACCAACTTTATGCTAAACAACCTGGAACAAAATACTTAATTGTTCTGTTATTTTATTATCCTACAAGGCTGTCTCTGAAATTAGGTAGTGTTATGTGAGGACAACTTATGTCTATTGCAAATAGAGGGATCATAGTAAATTTCAATATATTAACCCAGATTTTATATTCAGTTTTTGTCTGTTTATGTAGGCTGTATTCCAGAAAACAGTAAAAGCCTAGTTTAACATTTCAGGAACAGTGGGGTTTGATGAGCCCTCAATATGGTGTAGGTTATTAAAGAATTTTGTTTAATTTCACTAATGTTTAGTAGTAAGGTGTCTTATGTAGGCAGTACAAGTTTAATATTTTGAAATAAAACATTCTGCTAAGTTACAGGTACCATAAGAAGAGCATTTCTGAAACTGCATACAGTATATAATCTTACTTTGTAGTTTTAAATGATACGATATTTTGTAATGTTTGTTTATATTTCTTGTTTCTCGTTTAATTTATCCTATCAGTTTTATACCACATAATATAAATGGTTGAAAAAAATATATATTCTATACATCCATACTGAGAGGAACAGGCAGACTGTACTTTTACTATGCAAGACTTATAAGAGCTTGTAAGATGCAGATATATTATTGTAGTTTCTTGCTGAGTTGTGTTTTGTTCAAGCTTTGGTTGCTCATGTTGAAATATTTAATCTCATGAGACAGCTAGCAAAGTATCTAAAAAATCTGACTTGATAAATTTCATGATTCAATCAGTCTAATTAATTTTGTGCAAAGAATACAACTTTATTAATTCTGAAATGCTCTGTTGGACATTTCTTGACACAGAAAATAATATTGATTCTTCTACTAACAAACATTTAATGCATTTACTACTAAATCATTACTGAAACGACATTTGAAATATACTCATTTTCTATGCAGATCATGTGGACCAACTGCTTGACTATGTTTGAGTATTTACGTAATTTGACTAAATATCTGTTTGTTGTAAGAAGCCAATTCTTCAAGGTTAGTAAAACAAATGGGCAACAAATCTGATGAATTTGGTAATTCACTTTTGGTAACATATCTCTTTAAATTGTAGTTTAATACAGGGTGGGGCACAGAAAATTCCTTTTTGTGAAGGGACAGGAGGTCGCAGAAAAGTGGGTATAGGCTCAATGAACGCAGCAGTCGCGGAAGTTTCTGTCTAATACCCCTCAGCAGGAAACATGAGGTGGACGAGTGAGCAGCATGCGTTTGATGTCAAAGCCTATTTTTCGAACAACCATTCCTATGTGGCGGTTCAGCGTGCGTTCCGTACTCACTTCAGAATTAAGCCCAAAGGTCCAGTTCCCGACCAGAAATCGATTGTTTTGTGGGTAGAGAACTTTAGGACAACCGGGAGTATGGTGAAAAAAAATCATCAGGATGAAAGCGGACCGTTACGATGCCAGAAAATGTGGAAGCAGTTTGACAGTTGATTTTGAGATCTCCAAGATGCTCCGCTCACAAACATGCAGTCGCCCTAGACATATCCAATCGTTCAATGCGCCGAATTCTTCACGAACATCTTCATTTCCATCCCTATAAGATGGGTGTTGTGCAAGAATTGTCACCATGTGATTTCCAGAACTGAGTAACAGCGTGCGAAACATTATTGGAAACTTTACCCCCTGATGCACTTATTTTCTTTAGTGATGAGGCACATTTTCACCTATCTGGATATGTCAACAAGCAGAATATGCGCTATTGGAGTGGGAACAATCCCAGAGAGCTCCCTGAGGGGCCACTTCACAGTGATAAGGTGACAGTATGGTGTGCATTGTCGACGGTTGAGTTATTGGCCCTTATTTTTTGAAGAAGACAATCATGCAGTTACTGTCAATTCACAGCGGTATGTGGACATGATTAAAAACTTTTTTGAACCAGCTCTTGAAGAAATGCATCTAGGAAATGTCTGGTTCCAACTGGACAGTGCCATGGCCCACACAGCCCAAGCTTCGATGACAGTTTTGAGGGCAAAGTTCCCTGGACGGCTCATCTCGCTTCGAGGTGACATCCCGTGGGCAGCGCACTCACCTGATCTAACGCCCTGTGATTTTTTTATGGGGATACCTCAAGGCAGAGGTTTTTAAACATCGCCCCACAAACCTGCTTCAGCTGAAGAATGCTATTCGGCAAGAAGTAGCCCAAATTCTGGTGCACATGTTGGAACATGCAGAGAGGAACTTCAGAAAACGGTTGCATCAGTGCACAGAGAACAGTGGCCACCACCTTCAAGATATTTTGTTTAAAACTACATGATTTAAAACTTTAAAGTATGTTCGTTCATTAGCTAAACATAAATTTTGTCTATCAGCAATAACTTTTCTTTTATTCGCTTTAAAAAAGGAAGTTTCTGTGCCCCACTCTGTATTATCCTAAAGGCTACATAAGGTCGACATATAGCTCTATTTGGATACTATTTCATACAAGTGTTTTATTTCTGAAAGTAAGACACAAAAATGAACAAATATGTACATAATCACAAATATAGAGCCCATGTGATGTCTGATTACTTTCCATTTATTTCCAGGTTCCCATTCCTGCTAAGCTTTGTACCAGCTCAGACGGCGGCCAGTGCAATTATCACTGCCCAGAGGCGGAATTATTCCGAAGTGTCCATCCCAAGAGGACTTCTCTATCTGAACAATATTTTGAAGTAAATTAATCTCCAACTTTTTAAGTGCAGTGTAATTAAGTTATTAATTAATCTTGGGATGGGCCTTCAGTACAATATCCAGACAGTTATATGCTAAGTACCTCTTGGGTTGGGCCTGCAGTACAATATCCAGACAGTTATATGCTAAGTACCTCTTCAAAAGTGAAAATAGAGGCTTGTATCTAGATGATCGTTGTTTAGAAGTTACTGGATTTATGATGAGTCACATAGGCATCCTTCAGTCTGGATGGGGGCGAAATGTAGGGAGTTGAGTGACAGATATGTAACATGGTGTTGATGTAGCAAGTGCATATAACTCCATAGCGTATTTCTTGATCAGATGTTAATATTCAGATACTGAAGAATTTCTGTGTTCTTATGGAATCTAATCACCATCACCATGGATCTGCACTGAATATTATATTGAGTCACTTTAATCTAAGTCTGAACCCCACAACCCATTTCTCCAAGATCTGTTTCATATTACCTTCAAAGTGGTCCTTATCCTGAGGGTTTGAAATAAGTGTTAGTACATACCTACATATCTTATTTCCGCATTCAAGCTACTTGTCTTGCCAAACTTAATTTTGATGACTTAACCACATAATATTTGAAACAGCTAATTTAATTAATACAAGTTGCCGATTCTTGAAACATAAATCTACCACTTATCTGCTAGTAGACATTAAGGTACAGTACTGCTTATACTGAAGTTACCCATTGGACAAAGCCCTGAATTACTCCACCCAGATCTCTCTCTCACTGCTTCCCTGATATTGATTTCCATATTATACTCCTGTAAATTTTTGGTCTTCCAAATGGTCACAGAATTCCTGTAAGTGTTATGCTATATTATATGCGTGCAGAAACATGCAAGAGTCTACTGAACAGACAACAAAGTGTTAAGGTGTGTATTGATTTCGTTTTTCAGACTTTTCCCTCTGAGAGCATCACAACACATGAAGGACTTTTTTGACAGTGGTGTGGATTCTGACTGAACATATTCTGACCTATAAAAATACATGGAATCAGGAGTACACCAGCACAACTAGCTTGGCACAAGCTCTGCACTAACTGCAATAAGTTCAACGAAAGACAGTGCTTTTTGTCCTGTCACCATTCATAAGAAGAATGTGAAATTGAAAAGTAGCTACTTTTTCGTGTCCTCAGAATTACTGGATTTTTTTTGTGTATATTGTCATAATAAGCAAATGGCTCTTTCTATACTGAATGCGATCTTAAGATGACCTTTTGTTTTCTTCTATGATACATAATGCTGAAGATGTGAAGAGTCACCAAAGTGACAGGGTCTCTGGAAACTTGGAAGTATGTCACATGGATGCAATCTGTGAAGGGTGTAAATGCTGTGGAATAGTCAGAGCCTAGTTTATGGTCAGAAGATGGAATGACAACAGAAGACACTTTGGAATGGGTTACTGCTTCTAATTAATTACAGTCTACCACAAAATATACGCAGAACTGTAAGAGTAAAGTTTCCTTTTAGATATCTGGAGTCTATTATGCAAATACTTTTCTGCTATTTCTGTTTGGAGCTAGAAACCAGAGAGACCACTGAAGATATCTAGAGGCAGTCAGCAATGCATTACACTGGGGATTAGGATCATGCTACTGCAAAGGTGGAAGAGAGTTGTGTATTTGTTACCTAAACATGTAACTATTTACCACTTAAAGGAATAAAAGTAAAGTTTAGGATATTTTATTTCCAAAGTAAACTCCACACTTCCATATGGAAACTAACTTTTGTTACACTGTGCTTTCTCATACTGTCACGTGTATTAATGGCTAAAGACGCAGGTTTGGATCAGTGAGTTGATTTATTGGATATTCACTAGTCATAACTACAAATAATTACCACATTTTCAAGATTACTGTAATTGTAACATAAATAAAATCTTCTATAGCTGCTTTAACTAGTCATTGCTAGGTAACAGATCTCAAAAATGGCTATTGCTCTGCAAAGTTTTCCCTATCTATTTCCTGACAACAGATTTTAACATAGGAACTAATGCTGTCACGCTCCAGATATCACTGCACTACAGCACAAATACCTTCTTGTACTCTTTTTTTTTTTTTTACTCCCATTTCCAATTTGCTCTAATCCTGCAGCTCGCAGCTCTCGTTATATACCCATGGCATGGACCACATAGAAAACCTCTTCCACTTCCCACCGCGGCAGCCCAGGTTTGATCCCGGGTCTGGTTAAGTGGGATTTGTGGTGGACAAAGTCGCGCTGGGGCAGGTTTTCTCTGAGTACTTCGGTTTCCCCTGCCAATCTTCATTCCACCAATTGCTCCACAATCACCCTCACCTATCATCTGGGGCTGGCACAATAGGCTAGAAGTGGCCGTAGTATAAGGGACTTAGTTCCACCTCACTAGCAGTAAAAAAATCCTCTTCCACAGACTAGTTGCATAACCTAGTAACCAGTCACAACGCATGTATCATAACAATGGATTCACTATTGTTGTCACGTTCTTAAGGGGGGAAGGTGTTTACTGGTTGTAGCATAGAAATGGCAGGTCTTCTGCATTGCTTCTATTCCTTGCAATGAGGATGTTTACGGTCATTCCTCTGTTGTTATAGAAATGGCCCATATGTCACAACAATGATATACAAAAAAATCTTCCCCAAATTTTTTTTGGAATATTTCAGTCTTTTTTTCTAACTTGACACACTGAGTGTCCATAAATAATACTTGAAGGAATCTGATAACACCAAGCTCATTTTGAGACGCTGTTAGAAAGCAATAGAAAGGGTACAAATTAACTGATATAGTTGCACATATTTAAGAAGTTTGTGGCTATGACATATTTTGTAATACGAGTTTGAAAACAGCCTACAGTGGAATTGTTTTTCTTGGAGAATATTCTACTAAAATTTTGTAGTTGGAAGTGTAGTTCCCATTTAGTAGATGGAAAACAAATGTGCCAGTAAATTCATAGGACTAAATTAGTGTTATAGGGCCGTGCCATAGCTCAAGCGGTTAGTCGCTGGCTTCCCACTGCAGCAGCCAGGGTTTCATCCCAGGTCTGGTAAAGTGGGATTTGTGGTGGACAAAGTGGTGCTGGGGCAGGTTTTCTCCGAGTACTTCGGTTTCCCCTACCAATCTTCATTCTACCAATTGCTCCACAATCACCCTCACCTATCATCTGGGACTGGTACAATAGGCCAGAAGTGGCTGCAGTACAAGGGACTTAGTCCCACCCCACATTAAAAAAAAAGTGTTATCCAGAAATGAGAGCACAGAGTGCTTTACTTCTAATGAAACCAGTGTCACTGATATTGTGGATGTATCATGACCATTATTGGGATGACACTATGCGCTTTCTAATTGTCCATTGTCCCTAATTTTATGAAAGTGAAATGTTTACACACACACAACTGAAAAGATGTTTATTGCCTAATTATTTTTCAAATTTATTAGAATTTTGTAATAATAAAGGTTAGACTTTCGTTACAGGTACTTAAATTTATATTAAAGAATGTGTTAATTAATTAGCATTTAATATAACTCATAAAAAAGCAATGTAAACATCAACATATTCTTGTATCTCTGAAATATCATATTCTATGTGGTGATGCATTTGAATCATTCTTTGAAATATACTCAGCACTGTGCTTGATAATACTAATTATATGCCTTACATGGATCACTAGGGGACTATGTTGAAGGATGAAGTAAATTTTATGAAGAATTCTGCATTAAGCACAAGAAAGAAAATATGCATATACTTCAAAGCCACATCACCACAATCACAAGTGTGTTCAGAATTATGACAATATGCATCTGAACGCCAATATACATATTACATTAAGAAACAGAAGTGTTCAGTATGATTAATGACTATTCACTATAAACAGTGAAGATAAACACTGTGCTGTTTTTGTATTCCAGCTTGCATTTTGAGTTTGTGTTAATGCATATTTTACACATTTATTTTATACGTGACAGTGTTATATCAAAATCCCTTACTGCTTAGTATGTTATGCGGAAATATAATGCAGTTTCTTAAAATTTCATGAGTGGTTCTTGGTATATGTATATGTACTTTCCCAGTGGGGTGACTAGGAATGGAACAGTATCATTTCAGAGAATGTCAAGTTTTGAAATTCACTGGAAGGCCTACATGTACTGTAATTTCAGAATGAATGTTAGTTTGATTTATTCACTGGAGCAAAGGGACAATCCAAGCTATGTATTTAAAGTGCTACTTTTGAATTCATATCACTCAATTTTTTATATTCTTTGTTTACTGAAAGATGAACAAAGGATTTGTCTTGGTTTATGTAAGCTGCATGATTACAATGTCTGTACACATTCTTTGTGCTGTGTGAATATTGCGGAGGTCTGAAAAGATGACAGTTATAAGTAACATATGTTAGCCATAAAAAAGCGTTCAGCTCTTATTTGAAACAATTCCAACTTCGTAGATTGTTAATATGTTTATATTTGTTTCTATTAAATGTAAATTTACAGTGCAATGGATGAATATGAATATTACCCAGACCCAACTTTTGCCCAAACATATTTGTTGATGTCGGAGAAGAAACATGCACAGTACAAAATTTAAGAGACTCTTTTTCTTTCTTTCGTTCTTTCTTTCAGACATGGGATTAACTGTACAAAGCATAATTTCATGAATTATGGGGTTCAAATTCTGAGTAATTTCTCCTGAGGATCTTTATAGTACCTTCTCACTTTTGTTTAACAGTATTTAACTGTGAAGGTATTGCGAGGAAACACATTTTCAAAAGAAATTGACACAGTTACATTCGGAAATGTTTGTTAACAATTAGAAAATAATAAAGCTCTTCTCCTTGTTCTCTGAATTACAGTTAGCAAAAGCATTCCCAATAGTTCAGATTTAGGACAGTGAGCTATCACAAATTCAAAGTTTATTAATCAGCCAGAGAGAGTAGTCAAGCCATTATGGTAGATTATGAAATATTTTTATGACAATACATGAAGAGCTGATGTTAGTTCTACACATAGTTGAAAGAAAGTTATATATTTGAAGGAGTATGGGTGGAAGAGGTCTTGGCATTTTTTAAGGTACTCCGCTGACATATCTGGTGGATCTGAGAAGTAGAGAGAGACTTATTCCACAGTAACCATTAAAAGTCCAGGAGAAATCAAATGTAAATTACTTTGCACTACCACTCTTCTCTCTCAGAGCGAATACGAGAACAAAGTAAAGAAAAGGTAAGGTTGTTCCTGTGTTTAATTAATTTAAGTACTATGCCATAAAGACATGGGGCAGTGGAGGTGTAACTCCACAATTGACATCAGCACTACATGGAGTTGAGTGGTCACCTTCACGCCCCTGCCACTTTACCTCTGGGGAAATCGCTCCTGGTACCCTTTGGATAGGAGGCTGGGTGGTCCCCAGAGCCTTTCTGGACAGTGGAGAAGAGAAAGATCTTGCCTCTGTCAGGATTCAAACCCCGGCTATCTATCCCATAGCCCACCACTATACTGACTGAGCTATCTGGACTCTCCAGGAACCAAGTTCCGGACCAGTATCAAAGTTAGGCTTATATCCAGAAAACAATGTATATTACTCAGCTTGATAAGTTTGAAATTTAGACAGAATTAATTTGGCCATGTGAGGTGTCTCATGGAAATATATGGACTTCTTAAATTTTAAATTATAACACAGCTCTGAAGACACAGAGACTGCATGTTACTGGTGCATAAAACATAATTCTCTCCCTTCACCTGAAGAGTTTAACTGTTGTTGCTTTTAACATGCCCATTTTTTTATACCGAAATATGGACATTGTGTTCTGTTCTATGTTGGATTATGACTAAATGCATTTTTGGCAAAAGTATTGTTTGTGTTTCTTGTTTCACTGTTCAAATTCATAAGCACTGTGGCAAAGTGCCTGCTGGCATTGAATTCCGTATTCTTGTATGCTATTATGTAAGTTACTGAATTCAAGCCTGAAGTGTCAATTGTGTGACAATATCCGGTACAAGAAATATTTTTACTGGTAAAATTATAATAGAAAGAGTGAAAAAACACAAGTGAAAAATGATTACTCACATTCTGTAAAATATTCCAATCACATTTTTAAAAAACAGCTTATCGTTTAACAATTGAGCACAGGATCTCTTTGTTTGCTACAGGCTGCAGATAGGGACTACCTCTATCGATTGGGTCCAACTGAGTAGGTTTTATATGAAGACAGGGACAGAATCCAGTCTCTGAGACGTTGTGTTTTGAAATATAAAAAGGACGGTGTTCTAGAAAGGAAGGCGACAGATAATGTCCAGAAACACAATATTTGTACTAATGAACCATCATCACAAACTTTTACATCTTATTTGCTACCGGGCTGTTTACCAATATACATATATTGGAGTTGTTTACTGTATTTGGAGAGACTGAATATATTTTATATGCCTGATGTGTACATTTATTTCTACTTAAATTAACAGTTCACAATTGGGATTAAATTATATTTATGAAAATATTATTTTTGGGAGAATTAGTAGTTAATATGTAGGATATTCATTTGATATATGTGTATTTCCAAATTGTATATCCTTGAAGAAACATGTGATTACTTCATGTATTTGCTTCTGTAAAACGAATGTTATAACTGATAATTT